TGAAAAATTGACCAAAAAAATGTTTGTGTTTTCGAGCTGGAATTTGGTGATGATGTGCGAATTGCAATTCAAATTTGACACATTTTTACTTTGACAATTTTTCAGAAACATCAAATACTGTGAGTTTTCAGGGAAATTAGGGGTGGCTGTATCATTTGGCGACGCACTGTAGTAACGATGCTGACATTTTGTGAGAGCGAGCTGAAATTGCTTCCCCAAAAAATTTTGAGTTGAAAGAAAGTTGTCAAACACTCATCACAGCCGAAACTTGCATGAGGGTGGGCGAGGTACATGGATATATGATATGTTAGACAAAATCAGCCGTACCTGTAAGCGTATTTTTTGCGCACCAGCGTCCATGCCTAACTGGTAAAAACCACAAAAAGACGTCTTAGATGATTTATGCTATCTTTTCTTATATCCTCCTAAGAATTGTCACCCTAAGAATCGATTAATCTTTGAAATAATCGCTAGGACAACATTATATCTTGTTACATCGCGCACAGCAATCGAAGTGTGTAGGGATGTTGAGAACAAGTGCTACTCACAAACAGCTTCATAACTGATTCTTACTCCTCGCCCTTCGACTAATTCATCGGAAAAGAACTGGATTGTTACCGAATCTGTCTTTGAAGTTACCTAAACGTTGCGGTATATGTAGTGAAGCAAATGTAAAGTTATCGGAGCATTTCAATCACCTGTCGATACTTTAGTTGTCCGCAGAAAGACAGGTAGGGACGCATGAGGTGTTTTGGGGTACTTGCTAAAAAAGGCATTGTGAAAATTGGTCATAAAAATAATTTTTCATCACACATCATTCGGAACAGCACAATTAATGCAATGAATGCATTCACATCACTGAAAAATCGTTCGCTTGATCATAAAGTTATCCCAGAAGCATCTATCTTATCCACTCTTCCTCTCTGAAGGCCGGAGTAACGAAAAATCGGACTCAAGTAATTCACTTTGGAAATGAAGAACCACTTCTGACTGTGTCTTGCCTGTGCCGCGTCACTGAGGAATAAACAAGACCTTTCCGAAGAAGTTCTCGCTTATGCCGCGTCACTGAGGAATAAACAAGACCTTTCACGAGGAAATTCATTCTATTGATTTGAATACATTGAACGATTTGTTCAGGTATCAAGAACCTCGAGAAAAACAAAAGATTGAGCTACTGCTGAAGGTAGAGTCAGAAAGTGGCAAAGACATCTTTTAAGTATCTCTTTAATATGCAAAACCTGGTCTCACTATTATGTTAGGTTTCTAAAAAGATGACTTATCTGGAAACAAAGCCTGCGTAATAATCTAATTCAATGATGATAGAGTTCTTCTTGTTTTCTGCTTTTCGGTCACGTGTACCACTTGGCTAGCTTTTTGGAAAAAATGATGTACCATCCGGAGTGACACTAACACTGATTCTCGAAATTAGAGAGAGATTTCTATTATGGGAACTAGCTTACATAAGAGCGCTTGAAATCACCTAGTAACGTGCCGTCTCGCCGATCTTCGACTTCCTTGAGGAGGGCAATAGTAACATCTCCTCTCTACAGCATTCTCTCGTCCAGAGCTTCCCTGATGTAGTCGAGCCATCGCGTCAGTGGCCGTCCTGGTGCTTGACGTACCGAGGGAGCCAGTCAGTAGCCGGCCCGGTTTAACGATCATCACAATATTGCATAATGTATCCGTCCAGTCCACCTGAACTTCGATGCCCTGACGTGTGTAACGACGACCCTTATCTTCGTTCTTTGATGGAGGTTGGCACCACGAATCCCACTCTGCTTCACGCATGCCGAGAAAATTCGAGTACATCCTTCCCATAGGGTGAATGACGCTGTTTGTATGCTAATCCTCTTTTCGTTCAGGTTCGCAGTTCCAGTGGTTTCACGGCGCTACGTCCGGACTATATGGGGGTGTGATAAGACATCCACCTAGGCTCCAGCAATTCTTGATGAGTGGCCAAAAATACTTAGGGTCTGGAGTTATTCTTTTGTAAGACACCGCCCTTACAACCTGCCTGTTCTTGGCGCTTATGTTCTATTGCTGCATCCAAGTTGACTATCTGAGTACGGTACATTTTCAAGGGCATTATACGATCATGCGGCAACCGCTTATAATAAACGATTCCCATTCAGTCCCACAAGCAACACAGCATAATCTTCCGCACCTAGATTTTGACTTTTTGGCTTTCGGAGTGGTTTGTGACGGCTCACTGGGAAGGCTCGACGACTGTTTCCACTCCACATTGTTGTGCACGAACCAATCTTCGTCCTTTCTCATGAGTCTCAAAAACAGCTCATTTTATGTTTCATTCAAGGAGTGAGTAGCACACGGAAGCGCGGTCAATCACTCAACTGTGAGGTACTCAAACATCAAGGCGCTTAGCAATGCCAACTCCAGCAAACAGGCATCGATAGTTGAATTCAAAACACCAAGCCTTTCTCCTATTTAACGAGTAGTGATATGCCGATTCGTCTTGATTAACACTTTGATTTGGTCGTTCTCAAGTGATGATAGCCTCCCTGAACGTTGGCGATCGTCGAGGATGGATTCACCGTGTTTAAGTTACGCGAATCACTCATGCACTGTATGTCCCCTCAGAGCATTGTCTACTTAGAAGTCACAAATCTTTCTTGACGCTTGAGCCAAGTTCTTGTCTTTGCGGTAAAAGGAAGACCCCAGATGCCGAAAATGCACGCGATCGTCCTCAAATTTCACATGAGTTCTGTACAGAAACACTCCGAGGAGTGTTGATAGAATCTCAAAGGAAATATAGGGAAGACTCACCTTTTCGGAAAATATATAAATTCATAAGGTTTAGTCTTTGGTCTTTTGTACAAAAGTTGATGACCGAGGGTGTTCAAAAACGGTGGCGCGTTAGCAAGGGTGATAGACTTGTAGGGAATTCCTCAGGCAGTTAATACATAAGCAAATAAGGGCACGCTTGTGGGCTGTCAGAGTATTACGGTCAATGAATTGACAACACCCGATTCGAACCATCACCTTATACTAAGCACTCCAAGGAAAAAACGCGGGTGCAGCGGCTCGAAATATCAGCAATCTATTCGATGTTCGCACTGCTCACCGATCGACGGTCAACAATCGGTTGGATCGCTTCACTGCAGGAGATACCAGCCTTCGGGGTAACGCAAGCATCGTCCCCTAATTCAATGAATGTTGAGGGAATTCATCCACTATGAGTTGCTAAACGCAGACTGGATGGGCACAGCTATCGCTCGCTCCTATGATCCCCTTAATTTGGCCAACGGGGTTAAAGAAGGGCGATCAAACCGTAAATCAGGCCCCTACAGAGGGACAACGCACGTCGAAAATTCGCTTTAAACCCACGTCAAATGTTCAACGATCCCGCTTGGTTCCAGGTTACTCATCAGTCGTACTACCGGAGTGTTCCCCCTTTTACCTACCTTGTGCTCTCCCTTTTTGAGCATCTCGTTGTGGAAAAGGAATTCGTAACTTGATGTGATCCAAAAACGGTAGTCAATCACTTTTTGAGTCACAGCCCCTCACTCCTGGAGAGATGGCATCAGTGATTGGCTCAAAGGATGCAAGATGGTTGTTGACTTCTTGAGTAAATATTTTTCCGAAAATTGATTGATATGAAGAAATTTAGAAATGATTTAAAAAAGATTTGGAGATTTAGATGATTTAAAAATGATATATATATTAGGTTGGCAAATAAGTCCTGCGACAAAATGGAAACCTTTTTTAAATCACTTCTAAATTTTTTCATCTCGATAAATTTTTGTAAAAATTCTTACCGACGGAGTCAACAACCTTCTTTCATCC